CTGCAAATATTGCGTTTTCCCCATTTTCCGCCTCCTGTGCTGACTTGCACGCTTACCCATCTATTATTAATTTTAGTCTTTTTTCGCCCCTTGGCTGACGAGAGGGCGTAACCCTCTACCGGCCCTCCAGTTCCTCCGGGATCGGAATGAAATAACGCTTATGTTGTGTTGTTGTTGTATAAATGTCCCAAATATATTTATTTTATTTTTATATTATCTAAAACCGCTGTTTATAATAAATTGTGTTAATTACAAAAAGGGTGGCTCGGCATGGCCAGGTGGTTAGTGCGCTCGACTCGCAATTTGCGGGTCGCGAGTTTGAATCCCTGTCCCATCAAACATGCTCGCCCTTTCAGCCATGAGGGCGTTATAAAGTAGCAGTCAATCCCACTATTGGTTGGTAAAACAGTAGCCCAAGAGTGGGCGGTGGGTGGTGATGACTAGGTGCCTTCCCTCTAGTCTTACACTGCTAAATTAGGGAGGGCTAGCGTAGATAGCTCTCGCGTAGCTTTACGCGAAATAAAAACAAACAAACAAAAAGGGTTGAAGGAAAGCAAAAATCATATCCCAGTGGACTTAGAACTTACTGCAATTTTACAACGCTAAAACCGTGGTAGGCAGAGCGCAGATAGCCCATTGTGTAGCTTTGTGCTTAACTACAACCAAATGAATTATACTTTATTTATGCGATATTAAGTGATCATGTTTTAACTGAATATTTTTGTTGTTAAAACAAGATAAACCGACTTATTTGCATTCCGTTTGTTATGCTGGAAAGAAGCAGTTTAGAATTACAGATGCGTGTGTAGTTAACTTGCTAATTATAAGTTATATTTTATTGTTTGTTTGTAATTAAGCACAAAGCTACACAATGGGCTATCTGTGCTCTGCCCACCACGGGTATCGAAACTCGGATTCTAGCGTTGTAATCCACAGACATACCGCTGTGCCACTGGGGGGGGGGGGCTATATTTTATTGTCGTACGATTTTTATTTAAGGAATATGAGATTATTGTGTAAGTATTTATTTATATATATCGTAGGATTGGATGTTTCATTGATATTCTAAATAATGGATAAAATACTTGGATGATAATAAAAGTAAATAAAAAATCAACCAATCAGTTTATGTACCTATATAGCTATATGTTTATGTACATAAAAATGCTATGCTTTAATCAAACAAATAGAGAGACAATCAATACAGCTATGACGTATTAAAATATATTAATAAAAGCTAACGAACTTACTCTAAACTCAAATATCTTTCTTCTTATGGTCAACCTTAAGACACATTTCAGACTTTCAATGTTGCCTGAGTAGACAAAATTATTAGTATCAACTTCAAAAACCAATAACACTGTTATCAAAATCTTAGATACTAATCGTAATAATTGCTATATTATAATATTTTGATACTGTGCCGAGAACAGTTATCTTATAATACTTGTGTTAAAACATCAGAAATCAAACGTCAACGATACCTATGGCAGAAGATTCTTTATTGTGCTGCAACAAAGTGATTTATCACCTTATTTGATTAAAACATTACGTTTCTGCATCGACAATGTCGTAGTACAAATATTAACATAAAACATTTCAAAAGTGGTGTTAGAATATAAAGATAGAACACACCGAGAGACGTTCAGTGTAGTACTAAACATTGTCATAAGATGGCGAAACTCTATCATTTTTTATTTTTTTACAGTCTGTGCAACCTTCGTGTTATATTGCACTTTCAGTCTTTTTTTTTTTTCAGCCCAATCGCTTGATGCAAATGGTAGCTGTGGCTAAAATGTTAATCATTCACCTGCAGTATGGGCCAAAAAACGGACGGAACAAAACGGGAGAGGAAGGGTTGTGAACTGATCGTTGGACACTCGGGGTGGGAGTAGTAGGTGGAAGAGCGGTGCTATGATTTTGGAGTAAACGAAGAATGTTGCAAGTTGCCATAGTTTCGGCACTGAGTTTCCGCTGCTCCTCCTCGCGGGACTTTTCTCGTTTGTGTTTGGTTCGTCGATTTTGAAACCAGACCTTCACCTAATTAAAATCAAACTTTATTTATGATCATTAGAAGATAAAATATATTCAGTATTTAAAAATCTTCTAGAAAATAAACAATTCAATATTAAACAAGTTCACCTAAAAGTAAACAATTTAGTATACAACCTGTACACCTAAAAATAAACAATTCAGTATACAACCTGTTCACCTAAAAATAAACAATTCAGTATTCAACAAGTTCACCTAAAAATAAACAATTCAGTATTCAACATCTCCTAGAAAATAAACAATTTAGTATTCAACAAGTTCACCTAAAAATAAACAATTCAGTGTACAACATGTTCACCTAAAAATAAACTGTTTTCAGTAACTAATATCTTCAGTATTCTACACATTAATTAATAATGATAGCGGTATCCATCATTCCGCACATTAACAAATAATGATAACTGTATTCAATATTCCGTACATTAATTAATAATGATAACTGTATTCAGTATTCCATACATTAACTAATAATTATAGCTGTATTAAGTATTCTACACATCAACTAATAATGATAGCTGTATTCAATATACCACACATCAACTAATAATGGTAACTATATCCAGTATTTCACATCTTCACATTATAGAAATCTGAGTTCAGCAGTTTACATCTGAAACGAACAACACCCAAATCTTGTTTCGAGTGTTTAATTCAGAAAAACAAAACAAAACTAGTTCTGGGGTTTTTGAGTCCTTTTTACTTGACCATAAAGTAACTTAAATTTAAATTGATTTAGTTGTGTGAATAATATTATGGCACAGATTGTAATGGTTTTTTTTGAAGAAGAATAGTGAACTATTCGAAAGCGCTCGAGTTTTGGGTCTCGTTTGAAAATCATTACAACAGAATTATGGCACAGATGATATTTTCAATATTACCTTTGGTAAAAAAGAAAATAAATTTGTAATATATATATATATGTATATATAGTTACCATTTCTATTGTTACGACAGCGGAAGTCACGTGACTCTGGTACACACGCGATGAGATTCTAGAAGGATCGGAGAACCTCACGAACGTCCCAGCGTTTGCTAGACGCCCTCTATTTTAGTATATAAGCCGGCAGATAAATTGATAACGGGATAATCGAGTTAAGCCGTAAGTGTAGTGTGTAAATCATTGTGAATTATAGCGTGTGTTTAAGTTAAAGTGACTGTGGAAATTCTGTGTATTGCAAAGTTGTATTGAGGAAGAATAAACTAGTTTTATTTAAGAAAGGACTTGTATCGCTGAACTTCTTCGGAAATAATTTTTACGGGAAATTAACTAACGACCAGAGACGTAACAGTACATTAAGTGGTAATGTTGTCAGCAAACATTGAATCCTCACTTTAAAAATTGAACAGCTTTTGATGGAGTAATATAGAAATTTATGTTTCTGTACTTTATGCAAATTTCTATTTTGGGCAATTTTTGTAAAACATGATTTTTAGCGATTTTTTCTAAAGTATTGTTATTTGTATATGCTTCATCAAAATACAAACTTTTGAATGAATTTTATTAACCAACGAATAAACAATTAGCTTCATTACTTTTCTTTCTCTGTTTCTGTTGCAATTGAATTAACCAATTTTAACTTGTGGCTTGTGAAACCTTGTGGCTTTTATTAATTATGCTGTCTTTGTTAATTATTCGTAAGAAAAACTAAGAGAATTTTCACACAAAACTGTCAAGAGGTGCAGCTGAAGGTCGTTACAGTTAATACCGGATTAATCAAATGGCAAAGCAAACAATTACCTAATGCCTCTAGCCCCAAGGTGTTGAGGGGCCCAAAGTGATTATGTTTTCTTTTTTTTTCTAATAGTCTTCTCAAATAGTTTCTAACTTGTAAACTGCAGTATTTTATAAATAATATATTTGGTAAAAGGTTGATTAGATGGGTAAACAAAAAATGGAGGCTTGTGGAGGAAAGAATTTTTAGTTGCTTTTAGACCCACATTGACCTTAATCCAATCCTGGGAGTAGTAGTTAAGTGACTCAATTACGATCTAAAAGCCAAGAAAAAATACAATTCTAATAAACTCTAATATCATAAAATATGTTGTTTTTTTTACTTTTTTATACATTTGTTATGATACCATTAACTATAACTTCGTGTGATATTTTGTTTTTTTTTATTCTAGTAATATATATATATAGGTTTCACACCTAAAATATTAAGTCGTCAAGAAATAAATGTCGCTTTTTTAGATGAAAATATCCGAACATCTTATATATCAAAACAAACATTTACT